TTAGAAAGAGGACTTTCTTTTATGTCTTTATTAAGAAGCCAGAGTAATGGATTGGCTCACTTTGGGGTTCTGTGGGGTTTGAGCCTCTACATCATTATCTTTTTTAGTCCACAGTAATCCTGGCAGCCGGTTTCATCAGGGGACAAACTGAACTTTTGGACTGTAGAAGTTAATAAGGCCAGCTGGTGTTTGACGAATGATGACTGTAAAGGTGGATCCAGCTGGTTTATGTCTAAAATAGGCATTCGCTCACCTCCAGGTCTTTAATTCCAAGAAAAGTCAGAGGATGTTTTTATGAAGTACACAAACTGTTGATGGGCGGTGGTCACTGATGTTAAACTCAAAGTGAGCTGCAGTTGTGATCTTTACTGGAGTTTAACATGACTGTTGTGTTCTTTGAGAGCATGTCTGTGACCACCTCGTTTTGTTTTTATGTCACTGTTGATTCACATCTGAGTTCTTTTAAGATTCACACCAGCCGATGAAAGTCTCAGTCTCAACCTCTGAGGTTTGAAATAGCAACAAGCACACCGGGATTCATTTTACTTCTTTGGCCTTCACAGTTAGCAGCTGGCAGCATGACAGTGACGCGGTTATTTTAGCCCTGGATAAGCTTCAGTGTGCTGAAAGGTTACCGCACAGACCTGAAGCTCACAGCGAGTCATGTACTTTAGAAAACTAAAGTAAAAGAGGACTGATTTCAGACTTGTGTGCAGCTCACGTATTATTAATTTCAGATTATCATTATTATTAATAACAGTTATAAAAAGATTATTATTTATCTTTTTATAACTGAGTTGGGCAAAACTTTTACACAAAGACGAGCTGTTAAACCAGCAACGCTCAAAGATGCAAACACACATTTGTGAATTTTATGCAATAAAGAGACACTGATGCTTCGTTACACAATGAAACCTAATTCATCAAAGAGCATTGCTTTTAGTTCACTGTGTGAAGAATCAGCTGATTTAAGCACTTGTTAAACATTAAAACATTCACTCTAAGTGACGCAGTGAATTCAGCATTCAAGTTAGCATGTAAGCTAGTGCGGTGACTGCAGGGCGTGGTTCTGTTACTGCGTCAGGTTGCAGTCCCGTCAGTGAGGCCACACAGAAATGCAAACATCGCGCCGTGTGGGATGGAAGCAGAAATAGGAAAGACTTCCATGTTTGTTTACGTTTTGTGAATTTTCACATTAACTCGAGTTTTTAGATCCTGTGATGCTACGTTCTCGGTTCTTAGACGAACGCTGATGTTTGGTGGTTGTGCTCATCCTGAAGCTCTCAGAGACTTAATGAGTGACGATCACACTCTGACTAAATAAACGACACTGTGACTGTGGAGTTCCCTCTCATGTAGAGCTGTGACTTTTACACAGCAGGCAGTCACATCCACTAAGGCCTCTTTAGGAAACGCCTCCCAGCTGCTTCTTTTCCACAGCAGTAAGAAGAAAATGAAGCGTGTTGAGCTCACAGAGCTGCTGTACTGTAAGTGACTGAGCCAGCTGACTGCTGACAAACCAGGTTATTCTGAGTCTGCAGCTCCTCCATCTCCTAATATAGTTGTCTGCCCTCCCTCATTCTCTCTCTGGATATGAACCATTTCATTAGCTGCTGCCTGCTCCCAGTTAGACTGATGGAGGAAATCCTCCCAGTGGAAGCAAAAGCTGTGGGGACTCAGCACACAACCCATGTCAGGAGGTCAGATGGGCTCATAGCCTTCGACCCTCCATATTTGGCCCTTGCTCCTGCAGTCTGGCAGAGCAGAGAGGTCCCCGAGTTTCCTTTTTTTAACCACAAAGAATGAGTCAAATGGTTAAACTGTTTGCTGTTGGACGAGTCCATCCAGCTCGGGTTTCAGTCCTGGTCTCAGCTCAGGAAAGATGACCTCAGAAAGCTGCACACAGTCACTGCTGTGTGTTCAGCATCAAACAGCCTCACAGTCTGTTTGTGCACAGATGAACCCGACGACAGCAGGATGATCAGAGCGATTTAGAGGCTGAGTTTTTACCGTTCATTAGCTGCTTCCTGCTGTGAAGCTCAGCTCTGAGTGTGCTGTGTTCATCAGAGCTGTGGAAATGTCAGCTCAAACATATCAGGTGTCACATCTGTGATGCTTCTGTTAGCATGCTAACTACAAGTTAAGTAACAGGTTCATTTGGGTTTAACTGCAGGATTATTCACATTATTCAGACAAATAAGTCAAAGATGTCTGAGCAGTTTGGGAACAGAAACATTAAAAAATGTCGTGAAAAACATTTTTTACAACATCAAACAGACTGATGAGGAATAAACAGTGTGACGGCAATAACAGTGTTCGTGTAACTGATTAAAGTCGACCAAATGTAAAAGCTGAATATAAAAAGAGTTTTCAGAATCTGAACATTTTGTAACATCAGTTCAGCTTTGATGTTTGTTTTTAAACCCTCCATAAGTAATCAGATTGGATTCCATGTTTCATGGATCATGTTGCTCATTAGATTCATTTCCATGTGATCTGCATTCAGTGAACGCGACATTTCAAAGTAACTTGAGCACAACGTTTATGGATCCCATCGTCAAAGTATGAACTTCAGCTTCCTGAGACGACAGGATGGCGGCTCGGATTTCCTGATCGGCTCTTTTCCGCTCTGGTGTCCAAACTGCTGCACATGATGCTCACAGCACATCTACATCACTACAGATCAACATTATAAACAGTCTCATCTGGACTGTTTTCATTGAGTTGATTGAACTGGAGGCTGGTTTAAGCAGCACACCTGCTCCTGGTGTTTGCTATGTGGGGTCAGACTGCAGGCTTACTGGGCAGCTCCCAGTATGAATGAGTGGGACTGTGGAGCTGTAGCTTCACTCTCTGCTTTTCTGCGTAACCTGATCTCAGAGTTACAGACAGATGCACGGCGTGACGCAGCCTGGAGCTGAAAGCGATCCCGTGTTGCTCTGCGCTGCTAGCAGATATTAGCTTCCTGCAGGCGCGCGCTGAGCTGCAGAAACAGGTGCTGCAGGTTATTTCTGGATGCAGGATCACGGCCCAGCACAAGTCTGCATGACACACTTCATACAAAGACACAATTACATCTGACATCACTGCTGAACTTTGTCCACCAAAAAACATGGACCATTGAATCGGTTTGTTTTCAAGCTTGTTCTTTGCTCTCTCTCTCTGTTTCTCAGGGTGACCAGGAGGTGAAATCCGTCGCCCCGGGAAACGAGCCAGAGGAGCCCAGCAGCAGCGGGGCCCGGGCCAGTGCCGAGGTGGAGCCCGACAAGTTCGAGCTCCCTCCAGAGTCGGACGAGGAGTACATGGTGGTGGAGGAGGCCGACTCCTCGGCAGCCAGCCGCATAAAGAAGACGGGGCTGACGCGCATCGAGAGCTTCAAAGCCACCTTCTCCAAGGAGAACATGAGCAAGACCCGCGAGAACCTGGGCACCAAGGTGAACAAACTCGGCGAGCGCATCGTGACGGCCGAGAGGCGCGAGAAGATCCGCCAGTCCGGCGAAAGGCTGAAGCAGTCGGGAGAGAAGCTGAAGGACACCATCACCAAGAGTGTCCCAGCCAAGCTCAACCTGAAGAAGGAGAGGACAGTGGCAGAGGGCCAGGAGGGAGCCGAGGGCATCACGGAAGGAGCTCTGCCCGTCCCTCCTCCCAAGGGCCGCAAGACCAGCCCTCACGCCGCCAGGCCGGCCGAAGACGAGGGCAGAGCGGAGGGATCTGAGGTGCCGATGTACGACATGAAGCAGCTGTCCTAAAACCAGATCTGGGCCCTTTCTTTGGACTTCTGAGACACACTGAGAGGAAGGTTTTTGAGTAGCTGTACAAGAATAAATGATTCATTAAAAAATAAAATAAAGATTATTTTGTGTTGAACACTTGAAGGAAGCGAGCAGAGAACAGATCCAATCAGACTGAACATCAAACCCGGCTCCTGAGAGCAAGTGTGCTTCCGGACATTTACCATCAAATCCCGAGAGAAGTTATTTTTCGGTCTCGTGTTCAATAAACAGTGAGCTGGGAAAACTGAAGAACAGACTTCAGACGTTCCCTGCAGAGTTTCTGCTGCTCGGTCGTCTGCATGTTGCTGAGACTGAGCTGATGATGAAGCTGTGATGGGTTTATGGCACGTTTGGTTCTGGAGAAGAGTTTTCCTGTCGGTGCAGGTGAAATGATCAGAGGTTACAGCCTCTGGTTAAAGTGGAGGCAGCGATCAGGACGGCTGAGCAGCAGAGGTCTCGAGGGTCCTAAAGTGTAAAAGCATCAGTGTTAGTAACACAAAGATCACAGAATGGGACCATCCACACAACACTAACATCTAAATCCACGGCAGGAACTCTTCCAGTGTCCTGAAAAATCTGCGATGCTGAGATTAAAATCTGTCTGCTCATCTTAATGCAACATTTACTAAAGTCTGGGTGGTGGGTTGTAGAGCAGACTGAAAGCTTTAAGTTCATCCTCTGATTAAAAACAGATACAGGAAGTATAACCCTGGTGTAAGACAGGAAACAGCAACACGGCAGCCATCTTTTTCCTCCCATGATGTCCCAGCAGAAGCTGGGGTTTGTTAGATCCTGTTCAGAGGAAACAGGCTGAAAGAGTCGATCATGGTTTTATTATGTGCTCGTTATGATTGAAGCTCTGGTTGTGTGTTAGAGACCTGCAGATTCCTCCACTCTGCCTCCTCCTCTGCAGGAATCAGCCTCTTGGCTGGTTTTATTCACCAACGTGAATAAAAGCATCAAACTAATCCAAGTTCATTGTGAAAAGCCTGAAAATGGAGGAATAAATCTGTCAGTTACCGTATAAAGTTTGAGTTTGTCAGTGTTTTACACGGAGACGCTCGTCAGATGTTGAATGTTTAGCATGAATGTTCCACATCTGGAGAAACCTTCAAGATTAAAGCCAGTGAAAAGTGAAGAGTTTCTGCAGCAGCCGCACTTCCTGCAAACGTGTTCTTTCAAAATAAAGTGAAAAGTCTAAAATTACTCACGACAGGTTTAAAGGTGAAGGTGGTCACATGGTTTTAGTGGAATGCCTACGTGGGCGCGTCCGAGTGATTTTGACTCAGATTCGTGCAGCGTGGAGCAGTAAACACTTGTTTTTGTTCATCTGGACTCATGAATGATTCCAGTTAGCACGTTTCCAGCCAATGAAACGTAACTACAGATGAAGACAAACACATTTAAGCTGCCTGACTCTCGAGTGTGGCTGCATGCTCCCATTTTCAGTCTGTTTTAGTTTTCAGTTTAGAGGAACGCTGCAAACTCACACAAACTTCTTTCTTGTGAGGTTTTGTTGGCAGACTGATGAAAGCAGCAGCAGCTGGTGTTTGATGAGCAGACGTGTGTTTCCTGTTCTGTAATAATCAGCTTGTTACCATCACATAGTGAACTCAGCCGTGACCAATGAGGCCGTCCTTGTGCGCTTCTCTGGCGCTGATTCTGACTGTGACCTTCACCTCTGCAGGGTCGCCTCTGCTCGTGGCTCAGCTCGTGTTTGTCAGGCTGACAAAATAAAAGCTTCTTCATTTCTGTGGCTGAAGAGGAGTCTGCTCTTCTTCACCAACAGGAAGTGAAACATTTCTCACTGATTCTGAAATCTTCACTTGTCTCACAAATTCACAGTAACACACACAC